CATCCATCCACCCATCCAATCTTCCATCCATCCACCCAATTATCCATCCATTCATCCATTCATCCATCCATCCATCCATCCACCTAATTATCCATCCATCCACCTAATTATCCATTCATTCATCCATCCATCCAATCTTCCGTCCATCCATCCATCCATCCATCCATCCACCCCCTAACCGTATGTGACGACGTTTGGTGTACAACTAGTTTTTCTACATTAATCTGAACATCATACAAGCCTAGCTACCTCTTCATTTTTGTGTGAGCACCCTGGAATTGATCCCAATTACCAGGGCCGTAAGTACCCAACTATTTTACAGCTAAACAGAGAAAAATGAACTGGAATTAGGCAAAGAACTAACACTAGTAAATACTGTTTGAGACTGTATAATATACACATACGCTGAACTAATCTGGTTTACAAGTTGATTGGGGGGAAATAAGTACATAAGTACTACAACATATCACTACTAAAGAAGATATTACATCTCTGCCAATGATAATGCAAGTGTGTTAACTGCAACGTTATGGTTTAATTTACGACTATTACGGGGAGGGAAACAAGCTTAATTTTGTCATAATAATTCGTAATTCCATAGACGCCTGGTATGATATAATCGATAATAATTCTGATGATGACAAATCATCACAGTGTAGTGTAGTAACAAGCATAGTTAGTTGTGTTTTAGTAGGTTATTATGGAGTACTGAGTGACATTGCTGGAATTCTCATCGGGTCTGGGATTATTATACACGACTTGCAATTCATTTCTTGTTTAACATTATCAGTGTAGGTGTCATCCGTGTGTAGACACTTAAGCGAACGAAACTGCATATTTTACGTATTCAAGGACTTGGGGAGGGCTCTGAATAAAACGCAGGGTTGTTTTGGACGTTTTAAACTGCATTATGTGACATTAATACGATAGAAAAAGCCAATTTTCTGGTCTTTTTTTTTTACAAAGTAAGTTGAATTAACCCTACTCCATTGCCAATAAGCGCCATTCATGAAGTGTAGGTGGCCAAAATGTGATGCTGAACGAGTGTGTTTAAAAGCTGGGGAAACACAGCTGTCAGTCATGTTTGTTTACATTCCGGTAGTTTGTGGTGGCACCACAAACTGAGTGTGCCTCGTGTGGGCTGTTTTGGCGCCAACCATAAATATCAGAAATGTGATATACTGATATACAAATAAATTGAAAGGTAGAAGTACTAGAAAATAAATTACAAGCCACCACAGGAATATTTTCTTGAATAAAATATTTCATTTTTTTGGGTGTAAAAATGTTAGATAATGCCTCTTTAAGGCGCTTTGTACTGCTTTCTATTTGTCAACTGTTTCTTAGAGATAAATTCAGTATACCCCCCAAAAAAGCTGACAGAATAGAAATCCCGAAAAAAAACCTCCAAAAACGCCACAAAGAAGTGTTGCCTCTGCTTGAAGAATAACAGAGAACTGTCCAGATTTACACAACAACTACTGTCATACAAATGAGGACAAACTCTGCCATTATATACTGTATAGAAAACTCAGAGTAGGTCAGGGACTTTTTGGTTATCAGTCATGCTGTGTTTTTTGCATCAACGTACAATTCCAGCAATTAAGCGTCTACCGAAAACTGATAGCTAACCCCAGTGAAGTGATGACTTCATCATCAGACTAAATGTTTTTCTGATAACACAATTAAACGCACAGAGGACGGTTTTTAGTGTCAGAAGACCACACCGAAACACGACCCCAAAATCACAGCTTGGAAAGAAGATTACAGGTCTGGACTTAAGACTCGTAATTATCTGGTGCCAAGGAATCTTAAGTGTTCTGAAATTATGACTTTTTTTCTGCTACATAAGATTTTAAGGTGTGAATGCGACAATATTCTCACAAGAATTGTGGAATAATTGACGCAGAAACGATTGGATACTTATCATCGTTGCCTCACGACATCTATTTGCAACAAGGTTTGTTCTATAATTCCTGTCTTTCTTTATTACACTGTGTTTAAGTCTTAAAGGCATTCAATGCAATTTCAGGGTAGCAAAACTAAATCTGTCTGATATTGACATTTGCTGCCATTTTGTATAAAATTTTCGTCATCATTTCATACTTGAAGCGTTTAAAATGGTCCCCAAACAAGCTACTTGAGGAGTCTGTTTATTTTTTGGCACCACCAAGAAATAACTAGAACCTTTTTCTGTCCGTGACAATGCAATATGCCTCACATATGGTATGGGATAGGGTTGATTTCGCTCAGTAGTACTACATTACATAACCAGAAACTATACATACCGCCCCACATTAATACATTTGCATCAGTATTTCATATTTTGAATGTTCAAATCAGCACAGAAACAAGCCCCAAAATGAGTCCTTTATTTTCAGGGTGGTACCCAAAAATCAGCTTAGGATCCAACCAGTAACCGTTCTCGTCAGAATTTCGGTATTTTTTCCTTCCGAGAATATGTCGATATACATAGATAGCGTAGTTTCAACTTACTATTAAATCAGTGACTAGAATATTGACTTTGAAAATATGTGCATTGGGCACCTTTAACTAAAGTACAGGGACTTCCGTATGGTCTACTACAACTAAGATCGAACAAAACTAAATATATGGGCAAAATGTATGGGCAAAGTCATCCTACTTACAGAATATATGTATGGCAGTATGCGGCAGACTACGTACAGAATATATGTCAATGGCAATACTTCTTTAATCATTCTAGCAGCCTCTTCAATATATAACACATGTATTCTCTAACGGATCTGAATGCATTCTCTAGGATTAAAAAAAATGTATTTCCCTATAATTATGTATAACGTTTGTAACCAGGCCATACGCATTGCCACTGATAAAATTCATTCATAGATTTGGTTGATTTTAATAGACTATCAGCATGAATTAATAGTTTAATAGTATTTGATCATTTTCATCGGATATGAAAAGTACATCGTAGCCATAGGCAGAATTGTGTAGTGTACCTTTTTTTAAATTTTTAAATTAACAGTTGAACATTAGACAGTGCAACGGATCAGTGATAATCTTAAACAATATACATATTCTAAAATCACACAAACGGTATCTTAAAACATGTAGGTTGCTACTACATTTTCAGTTTTCATGCTAGTAAGATACATTTCTCTAGCCCTGTCTCTACCCAAATACGGCCTGCTTCAATATCATAATATCCTATTTTTGGCTTTATGAATCATACTTAAGGAATGATTCAGGTGTTGCTATGAAGGAACTTCTACGTGCGAAGGGATCTGACTCCATCCCAGGGTGATTAACACCATCATCAGCCCACGGTACCCTGGGGACGACGGGCATCATCCCAGACATTTGCACGGTCCGTATTACCCATCCAACTCATTACTGACAGAACGAGGGTCAGTTCCCATGGAATAAGTCTAATTGTGTAATGACTTTCTGGGATGTCTACAGAATACGCCTTAGCCAGACACGGGCAGACTATAGCCTCCGTAGCAGGCTTATAGAACTGTGGGTTTGGTGGTCTTCGGCTGTTTTCTGATTCGAAAAAACTATCAACCAGGCCGACTATGTTGTCTACATGCAATCAGAAAATAGTACATCATCATAAAAGCTCCCAAAGACCATGAAGACCGCCAAATCCCCCAGTTTTTGGCATGCTATGGAGGCCAGACAGACTACACATAAATACCAATGTCCGATGCTGCTTTATGAGTTAGCAGTAATGCGTTTCAAAATGTCAACTCCTATATTCCACTTGACTAATTAATTTTACCCCTGGTATATACTAGTATGTTCAGTAACTATGATGTTGATTTTCATTCTATGCCCTTTGTTTTTGTACTATGTTTACTAGTTGTTGTTGCCATACGTTGTACCGTGTACAATTGTCGTGCAATAAAGTTCTTCATTATAACTATTCTTTATATATTCCATATAAAAACTGTCTGTGTGTGTTTCCCTTGCAGTTGATAGTAGAATGGAGTTGTCAGTTGAGGCATTGCATGTCTAGCATGCTAAAAATTTTAGTAATACTTTAAACAGGTGAGAATGATAGGATAGTCAGAGAAATAAGTATACATTGGTAAACAATGTGTTATACTATAATCTCCATTTGGCCAATTCTTGGTGCTATTTTTATTGGCATTAGTAGTCTTGTAGAGGCTAACGTTTAGGCTAACGTGAATATATTTTGATAGGTTATCCCTCACATAGCCTTTTTACAAGACTAACTACACTATTTTAATGGAGGATATTGGGGGGGGGGGTGCGCTTCCATAGAGTTCATTTTTCCGCAAATGAAAAATTTTACCTCAATTCCCTCTACTCTTGAGTTGAAGAAAGGGTTTAGGCTTCGACTTATTATTGTTGAGTTTTTATAGGGCTATCCTTTTTGTACTAGTATTTTTTCTTCGGGTGGCAAATGGATATTGCCTGGCCAAGTTGATACTACGGTCTTTTCAGCCACCAAAGGATTAGGCTCCGTCAAACTCATTGTTTTGGCCGAATTCTACTCTCCATAACCCATTAGGAAGGCCTGGTGCAGGCTATACCCTTTCACAACCACACACGTACACAGGCGTCATTAGAATGAGAAAATCTGTCGGTCAGAAGAGACACAGCGTGCCATACGGCCGTCTGTTGGTAACGTGTTCGCTCCCTAGGAGTCCCAGTAAATGTTAATTAGCCACTAGTGGCATCTAGTCGTAATTGCGACCATCCAAGCCTTTGATTATGTCCTTCCTCGCCGTATGGTACCTTTTCTCGGGGGCGCCCGCCTCGCAGTTTCGCCCAGAGCTACGTCCTTTCAGTATTTATTAGCTACTAATGCAGAGAATGAAGACGCCGTCCAAACCATCAATAGCTCGTCTGTTGGTGTTGTCGGCACGGCCCTTTGATCGAGCGACCCCCTACTCACTAAATACATCATTAGCCTACATTACACCGTGAGCACTCGACAAGAAACAACAAAAAAGCGTGGCTCAATGACAACCAGCAAAACGTCCGTCCTTCACAAATATTTTATATCAACATGTGGAAACCAAGCGGAAACAAACACGTAACATCTCTTCGCTCAGAATAAATAAATAAATACATAATCGTTGTGGAATAGTACTGCATATGAACAACAAGTTGACAAAGAAAACTAGCTGCTAGTAGTTCCCCTAGTTAAAGTTTTTATTGGATTATCTACGTAAGTGGTGCAATCATTCGACCGGTGGTACAATTGTGGCGAAAAAAACAACAAGGCGACCGACGATTACTAAAGAAATTGGGTGGAATTTGAGTAGAGGTTTCATGTACTGATGCACAACGTTAACATTTGTGTGCGACTGGACGGTGATATGGATACGTGTTGGAACAATAACCGTTGTAATAGACGGTGCCTTGGGCAAAAGGCTTTCCACTTTTCAAGCACGATAAGTTGTGCTACAATGACATGTCCCAGTCTGCGTAGTTTTGGCGGGTTTAGCCAACCGTGTCATACAATTACGCGACGAATGGCGTGTACAAATTATCCACAAATGAATAGATGGAATCAGGGCCTCCAAAAATGTACTAATATATACATTTTACACAACTAGATTGTATCCGCATGATACCCTATCTTTAATCTGACCATATCAAGGAATAGGTGGCCAAATATACAATACACAATACGTAAAAGATACTAAGATACATTATTTTGAGACCTCGTGCAAAATAAAATAGCATAATTAACACTAATATCTCCGTATATCCAGTGCAAGAGTATACAAATTTGTACAGAAGTCTATTCAAATATCCTTGCGTATCTATATATATATTTACTACACATACGTATCTGTATTACAACAAACAATTCATGCCTTCTCATACCGATAGTACTACCATGGAGTTCAAATTGTACCTCCATGGTACTACAGAACTCTGCTTGATAATTTTTTCCAAGTAAGTAGAAAAGTATTTGCGTTTATAATCGTGTGATTGTACAATAGACAGCATTGTATCTGAAAGCCTCTAAGTGCAGTTTAACAGCCGCTACCAACTACTCTATTTCTTCTTATGACATCCATAAATACCTAATAATAAGACTGTTAGGTAGGAAAAGTCGTTTGTGTGAACACAGTAATTTTGCAGAGATTTGGGCAGTGTCATGTGGCGTGGCAGGTTATTATTACCATTATACCAGCTGTCCCAATGCACTGTTTCCCCTTCTTTGAAGTCCGTAAAATTACATTCGAAATGACAAGTTGCCCCAAGCGGGGAAGAATTACCGTTTGTGCGAGTACCGAAGTTATCTGGTGAGCGTCGGCGCTACTACCTCTGTGCTGGCTGCCGCGGGTTCGGGTTTGGAGAAGTGTGAGAAGGGAGAGAAGATGGGCGACTCGCTGGTACTGACTCTTGTGGGACACGGGGTGAGAAAATCCGGGGTCCTGCCAGCTCCCGGCGTGCATTGCGTGCCGTAGCATCCGTACTGGCAGTTGCAGGAGGAGGAAGGGGTTCCGTACAGCGCGGGGGGTCTGGGTGGGGTACCGTACAATAAGTCCCGGGCGGTGCTTGGTACCCTGAAGTACGGATGTGTGAGGGAGCGGAACGCGTCTGGCGCTCTGAGGGGGGAGGGGTAAGGGGTTGCCCCAGGGGCGAAGGCAGACATGTTGGGGTAGTAGTGCGGTAACATGGTGCCGGGGTAGGGGTACCCCAGCGCGCCTGCGTGACCCATCATGTACGCACAGAAGTTGGGGTCGGCTGGATGCGGCCAGGTGAGAGCCAATCTCTGCCGCTTATCCTTCATCCGGCGGTTCTGAAACCACACCTGGAAGTAAACAGCAACATCATTGGTGAGAAAGATACACCACACTTTGTAACGTTAGTACGAACATTGAGTACTCCTTCCATCATTATCATTTAACAAATACATACTACATATCTCTTCAGAAGGGTATGTGTAAGAAAGAACAGCGTAATGTGAAAATCCTTATAACGGTACTCAAAATTGGCAACAACAATAAGGAGTAGATTAACGCTATTGTTGCAAAATTACGAAAAATATCAGTCTAATATTAGGCGAAACTCTCCTAATTTTGTGTATCTTTAATATATTGTTATAAGACGTTTAGGGGTGACAATCATAGGTGAAAAAAAACCTAGCCCAAACACCACGTTTAGTCCCACAAACGAAGTACGCGCCACACTGTTTCATTCGCAAACTTATCTCCAAGCAACTCTTTCGGTGGCTGCGTTAGTATCAACTTAGCAAGATAGTATCAAATTACAAATACAAACCCCCCAAAAAATGTAGTTAGGAAATAGTATAGGGATGGGCCGAGAGGGCGGGTGGGAATGAGGTGCTGCAATGCTGAGCCGATCCGAACAGTTTAATCTTTGTATCACTGGATATGGGCCTATGGCCAAGGAATTGATAAGAATACAGTATATGCTCTTACCAAACACAGTATAAAAATACTTTTTTAAAAAGAGTATCAAAATTGGCAGGGCAATATCCAACATGAAACCGAAGGTTCGCTGGTGTAAAAATGATACCAGTACAAGATATAGAAAGCCTGAGAAAAACGCGTGGAACACGTCACAAATAAGCCGAAGCCTGGACCTCTGCTTGGAGAGTATTCGCAAACGAGTTCCAGCCCAACGGGCTCTTTACGACTCCGTTTTGACCGGGAAATATCCGAGGGCACATCTGCAATGGTAATACCCATAACATCGTCCACGTCTACTGTTAGTCTGTTACATGGCCTTAGACTGGGTGCCATCCTATTTGTATGGGGGAAGTATGGGAGCCCCAACATACCCAGGCTAACATGGCCTATCTATCCCTTGTAACAATTTTTCCGCCTGCGCTGCTTTTACATTTTTTTTGGTTGTACAATGTTTCCGTTATAATTTGCGATGCCTTTATATGGTTGTTCTTTTATTTAAAAAAAACAACAAAGATAGGTTTAAAAAACGGCGAGATCGCAGAATTTCAACTATGTGTGTGAATAAGGTGAAGCGACGATAGTAAAAACAAGCGCGCAGGTGTAAGCGCACGCAACAAAGCATTAACACCTGCTGCGTTACACTAACATGTAAACATGAGATACAAGCGTACAAGTCACCCGCATGATTGACATTCAGTTATAACTACACTTACGCTTTTTGCTTCTTAATTTGACGTTAGCCTCCATAGCATGCCAAAAACTGGGGGTTTGGGGGGTCTTTGGCATCTGTGCTATTTTATGATTCCATATAGACAACATAGCCGGCCTGGATGAATTACCCCCGTTTTTTTAGAACTGGGCTAATCAGAAAACAGCCGAAGACCACCAAGCACCCAGTTCTATAAGCCTGCTACAGAGGCTACTTTCAATACTCAATACGACCCAAGTATACAGTACAATACAAAAAAAGTGATATCTACCTTCTACTTATACGTGGCTCGTTAAAAATACGATATATACAAACAATCTACCTAATTTAGAAATTGAGTTTTCTTTTATGGATGGATACATTTCCTCGTAAACGGGCCAATGCTTGTCAATGCCTTCTTACAAATGTATAACACATGTACTGTTCCAACAATAGATGGTAGACATTATTATTATCATACTCGAGGTGTGGACATAGAATATGGATATGACACAGCATTTTTTTCCACCTTAAAAAGATTTTTCAAAGTGATCATGCAATGCTATAATATTGGGTGCGGTTATTTTTCAACAAGGCGTACTACGTTACAGGCAATGAAAAAAATTAGAATTATTGATAGAAACAGCCATAAAAATTTATTTCGCTATCTCGGTGAAAAATTGGCTAAGGTCAGAGGGTATAGATCGGAGAGGATATCGCAATGCTGGATCTTCGCTTTTAGGGGCACTCCCAGGAAGAAAAATGACGCTTTGCAAAGATGGCGTCGGGCTATTCTACAATCATAGATACGGGGACCGAGATACAAGTGATTTTATCCTCCAAAAAGCGCGAGGCAGACATGTAAGTAGCCCTGTTGTGCGATAGGTGGGCCCGAGCAATGATATCATCTTAGCGGCGGCTAATATAACATTGAAACAAATGGCGACGGTGTGGGGAGTAATTGAAAATATCATCAGAGACAAGCGATGCCAATCTCGAAAGGAAAAGCCAAAAGGGGGGAGGGAAAAAAGTCGTAGAGTAGTCAAACGTAAAAGGAGTGGGGGTCAGGGAGTCAAGTGGTGGGTTATGTGTGGACTTGATCGTTGGAAAAAGGCGGGAGTTTGTAGTTTAGATGTGGGGACAGAGGGGCATGGGATAAAGCGGGGATGGGGACAGGTGTGTGCCGTGCGTTTCAAGAACGGTCTACGGCGTTTGGAGGGCTCGAACGAAAATTTGACAAGTGTCGTCTAGAGCTTTATCCAAGTTCAACACAGCCAAGTCCTTGATCCGTATTCTTCTTGAACTAGTTAGCGGCATTGTGCCACATCCACGATCATTTAGTTTCGAAAGGACAGTCTTATATTTAGGTATCTAGCAGTGGCGGCGTCCATTCCTGTGGAATATTACGGCACGACGTATAACGCTAGCTAACACAAGATGAATCTCCCTCCAACGCCGAGAGAAAAACAGATTTATTTGAAAAATTGCCCGCAAGATGGAAACCACGCAGTGTAAGATCCATGCGACTGCCGGGGAAAAAGTATTGATAGCAGGACTTATTACTATAGTCATACGTGAACCAATTTGGGAGGAAGAATGTGCTACATTACGTGAGATCATAACGGCTCATTTTTGCCGGGGCAGATGGCGGGTTTGCTCGTTATGACCGAATCATGCGAGCACTTCCGCCCGACAAGTTGGAGGATAGATGGATGGATTTCCACTTGAACTTGGAGGAGCTAAGCAAGCCGGGCCGGATTCTGAGAGAAACCGGCTACTAATTCTGACAGAGTAGCTCTTAATGAATTCCTCTCCGGCCCGGCTTGGAACGGTGGTCCAGCCGAGCCCTTTGGAGTGGAGATTACGGCAGAAGTTGCCGCTTTGGGCAGTCGTTCCGACTGGGAATCGCGGAGCCAGCGCAAATGACCCCATACATCAAACCGCTTCTAAGTGGAGAGAAAAATGAGGGGAAAGATGCCTGCACCTCGCCGAAAGTAAAGCCCCGCCAGAGATAGGGTGATAATGTGGCGATATGGGCTCCATTAGTGTAATTTTTAAGAGAAGGAATGATGTAAATGATGAGAGGAATGATAGATGAAGGAGATGGGCCGGCGCTTAATGCTAAGTTTGGCAATGGGAAGAGAAGGTCCACTTAATCAAGCTTGCTTGAAACGTTGGGTAAAAAGCAGAGGCGTCGGGACCCTGCGGGCTTGGGCCGCTAAGCTCCCGATAGCAGCGAGCACAGCCGTAAATATGCCAACTAACTCTCTTACAAGATGTAGTCTGGCGAGAAATCAAGCATGTTTAATAACGACAAGACAGGACTTTGAACGTGGGACCACTTTTAACTCCCGCCTTGAGGTGGACTTGAGAAAAGTTTTGACTTTCTGAAAAGTGTTGGGCTTGGCTGTGTGTCAAGTAAATACGGAAAACCTTTGCTAGAAAAAATAACTCTAAATAGACCTACTCTCGTAGCTATTCTCACGGCACAACACTACGGAAAATAAAACCATACGTATGAACTGGGCTTGAAGAAAAGCACAGAAAGAAACAAAAGAAGAAAACACGTTTGTCTTCAAAGCTTGAAACGGTCGCAATAGCAGACAGTATAATTTTCACCCAATAAAAAGCAAAAGAAGTCCTAATCTCGAACTCCAGACAAGCAACCGTGTTTGTGTCTATAGTATAACTGTGCATAAATGAAGCTACATTTCGTGTTTTAATACGAGACTCCCCAGGAAGAAATTCAAGAGACTCTCTACATTTGGAAGTAGTATGACTTAGTTGACATCATTATTAGGTCTTCCTGTTCTGTCAATCTCCTTGTTATCTACATTTCCTGCGTGAAAGGTCTTTAATCTATGAAAGGAAGGAAGAAGCTGGACTTCTCACTCGAAGACATTTTTATACGAGTCTTGAAGGCCACAAATTTGGAGATCTCTACGACATTCTTCAACCCCTCTTCCAAGAATTTGGAGGATCGTTACACTGAACATAGCAGCGTGTTTGGCAACAGTTTAGCTCGTATTGGGGCAGGTGGCTGTGTTGTGTTGAACGTCACTTTTTGTGAGTAAGCTGTTTTCAGCATGGGTGCAATTAGGAACCGGAAATCCACCATTATGGTCAGACACAAAGTGCATACCGCCGCTGACCTCAAACAGGGACTGCCAGGCTCTTTTTCCGGGACTGTCATGGCCGCACAAGAAACTCGACAAGACTGGTGACTTTTGTGATCAAAGATGTCTTATTAAGAAGCGATTCCGACGGGTTTCTGAGGAGGGTTCTCAGCGGGGGCTCTTATCAGAAAGGCGCCTGCCCCCCCTCCGTCTACCCCGCCATTTCTTTGGCGGGAATCCCAGAGGAAATGTTGTGTGAAGCCTGGTCACATGGCTTGTGTTAGAAGATCGTTTAGTTGAGTCAACAGAGGAGGACAGCCGACTTTTATGGGGGGCCTGTGGCGAAGGAGCCGTCCGGTGGCCCCGCTCTCATTAGCCCTCCCCCCAGTGATAATGGACTCTACCGCCCCTTGTCAGAAGCTTTTTCTGTCAGACAACAGACGACAACAGTATTGTACATTCCAAATGGTCTGGCACGGTATAGACTACAAGTCTGCCTTACAAAATTATTATCATGACATAACTATTTATCTATATTTATAATAATTCTCCGAACAGTTAAAATAGAATCTAAAAATCAAATAAAAAAACGACTACAACAACACGTAGGTTTCACAAAGTTCAAATAGTTGCAAGTTTACGTCCATTATTTGGCATCCCTTTCTGAATGTGAACCATAGGAAACAGTCCTTTCTAAGAAACGAGTAAAAGGAAATACGGTAATTTGTGTTGCCGTCAAGCCAGAATGTGGTTCCTGTGACTCAGACGATGGGTATTTTGGACGAATTTATTTGCCTCAACACTCAACCATGCCCTAAAAACTTCAGTAGGAAAGAACAAGTAAATTATATACTAGGTACAATATAATGTTCTTTGGAAGAACTGCCAACTCTCATATTATAAACAGTATCAGGAATATGATTTTTCTTGATAAGTTGATTCAAAAGAGAAGTCGAAATTTTCAGACAGTTTGATATACAATAGCCACCTAGTACTCTTCAGTGATTATTTTCGGAGGTAATCCTACGCAACTAGTCTGTCATATCACCGAATCTTGTGATGAACATGTGTAGGTTTCCTTTGTGATTCTTGTATTCAAATTCGTGGCTGGGTTTACTCTAGCTCCAGGGTGTGTGCTAGCTCGTGTGCCCCTCCCACGTGTTGTTGTATCGTTGTTTATTTGTACACTAGTGCTGTTGTTGTTGACGTTGTCTTACCTTGATCGTTGTCTCCGGTAGGTTGAGCTGGGCGGCCAGCTCACATCTCCTCGGGCGAGAGACGTAGTTTTCCCGATAGAACTCCTTCTCCAGCCGCGCGAGCTGTTCACGGGTGAACGCCGTCCTGTACCGCCGGACGTTTCCACCGTCTCCGTCCGAATTTTCTGATAAAAAAACCCGGAGAACAAAAGAGCAGGAATAAAAACTTATTATCCTCACTGATCTATGATCGATATTTTCACTAACCTTCCTGACAAAACCACTCCGGTGCCATTATTAGAACCTTGATGCTCAATTTTATTAGCTATCATCTAGTGTAATGCGCTAGGGGTGTATATTGGGCACCAATTGTTTTCAGTAAATGGATTCGCACTGGGTACATCTTTTGTCTTCAAGCCTAGCCTGGTATCCAGCCTTGTTAGCTTTAGTCCGCTACCCAAGATCCGCTCCCCGCGGGAGCGGATCTTGGGTAGCGGACTAAAGCTAACAAGGCTGGATACCAGGCTACTTCAAGCCATGTTCTCGTTTGTGGTGTTTTCTGTACGATATTAATTTTACTGTGCAGTTAGACGTCGGTGATAAAGTTGTCGGTCTGAAACCCGTCAAAGTTAACGAGTTTTCTCTACTTAAAGCCACTTGCAGACTATGGTTTTAAGACACTGAACAGAGCTGGTGTTCTCTTGGCTCGGTTGTCTGATTCGTCAAGTGTGTGAACAAGAGTGGAGCCGACTGCACGGTAAATGGGGAGCCGGCTATCGCGTGCCGACACCAAGAAAGACATGTCCTCCATTTGCATGCTTAATCTTTTAATATCAATCAAAAGAGCGGCGGCGGAACAATAGAAAAGCTCTGTCATGCATGCAGCGTACATACAGCTTACAACAACAATGTAATGTGATAGGCAATACTTATATTGTAATGATGATCTACAAAGGTAAATAGAGGCTTCCGACACAGGCCTAAACTACGGTGTCTGCAAGTGGTTTTGTTATGCTTATAACGCTTTGTGTACGACACAATACAACAAACGGTATCGCTCTAATTCGCAGTTTTGATTTCAATTGAGCAGTTAAAAAGGCAAGCTCGCGCGCCTGGGAAATCTTGGGGGATTTGCTCGCCATGACTCCACTGACACGGGGGCTGATTCGAGCCGACAGTTCGCATCCGTTCGCTCGGACAAGTTATGACAACAATTCTTCATCATTTGAGAGGATTGCATGTTAACGGACAAATGATGACTGCACCCACACGCCAACCCACCATAGGCGTGTGCTTACTCTTCAGTTTAATGGAAAAGATATTGAAAACGGCCTGGCCATTTTCTTTTTATTGCAGCCACGAAACAAAGCAAGAGGATTAAAAAAAACTCAAACCTAATTTCATCCTCGTCAAAAATGTCAAAACACCATCCACATGCGAAAAGTCTAGACAGCAAAAGCAAGAGATAGCCGTCTACTTTGAACCATCACAATTTGGTGACAGAAAAAGTATAGGCTAGCCTTATAGACAGACAACATGACCCTCAATTTAGCTAAAAGAAGAAACAGACGACCGGAAGCAAGCCTAAAACGCAGGCGTTTTGCGGTAGCAACACAAGTAGAATTCGAGGCAAATTGTTTACAGTGGTGTGTGGTAGAATTAGCGCCCTAATGTGCGTTCCATGGCAAATAGTTAATGGTCGTTTGGTATGGCTTCTGTTTAGTGTGTAATTTGTAGGCAAACAGACATGTTGTCAAGAGGAAGCCACGCTTTTGTTACATGAAGTGGACTGAAGTGTGTTTCTGATTCAGAGACAACATTCGAAATTTCTATTGGTTACAAGTGACTCGTATACAACCTACTGCTACAAAACGAAATCTGTGAAGTACGTGACAATCTGAACAACACATTTCTCTCAATTTTTGGAGCAGTGGTCTTGAAAATAACGTGTTTTCATTCCAGTGAAAGTTGTAGAGCTGTTATACTTCGTCCTAAACCTATACGAAATGAACGGAACTTAACAAATGTTCCCTAGTAGTAAAAGAGAGAGGAAAACAATCATCTTTCGTAAAAAATAAGGAGTGACGTGATGGCTCGTAAGAAGTTGTTGGCTCATGGTGGTAGGCAGACGATACAGATGTTGGCCCGGCTTGTTCTGGCGGAAAGGATGTCACTAAGAACAGATAAAGGGGTTAATTTCCCCACAAAGCCGGCGGACAAAGCCATCCATTACCTCAAGTAGCGGTGGTCCCGAGAAAAGTGCAGCGAAACCTCAACACCAGTCCTCCCCTCCCCAAAAAAACTTGAAATCCTCTAATTACTCAGAAGTTGAAGGAGAGCTACTTACCGGAGCTAGGTTTCTTGGGACTGTTCTTGTCGCTCAAGGAATCGCCCAGGAGGTCTTTAGAGTCCGCCATTCTGTCTTCCAGACCCTCCTTCCCGGGAAGGTCGCCGTTGACCGGCGAGGGTGTCCGCGGCAAGTCGGGGTGCACGCCCGAGGTCGGCGGGTCCCGCGCCGGGCTGACCCCCGAAGCCGGTCTATCGCCGCCTTCGAACTCCGTGGGAGTGAACCGACTGGTGCGGCCGTCTGCCTTCGGGGCAGGGTGCGTCCTGTCCCCGTCGACTTGCGGCATCTCCTCGGTGGTGCTCGGCATGTTGTAGGTGGAGACCCTCGGTGGCACAAGCGCGCCCCACTCCGATCGTACACCGACTGAGAGGAGAGAAGCACTCGGTTGATGCTCGCCGCACTTTATGACCATTAGTACTCCGGCCAGTTCAAAATAAAGCCAGGGCGCATATGCATGCAGGTATATGAGGAAGTGTGAAATGTGCTGAGAGAACGCAGTAAATCATTGGCGGGGCGGTCTTTGAGGGCTGGGCCGGGGGGACTGACACACGGCATTGTGATTAATATGAGCCGGACGCCAATTATGCCATAATCGAATCATATCCATTGAGACGGGCTACGCAACACTACATATAACTCTTCATATCTCGGCAGGGTGTTTTGTTCAGTTTGTTTAGAGGTCAACGGTTTAGTCTGTCTTTGGAAATTGAATCCGACAGGTTATACGTGTCCAATTGCTCTGATTTCTAAGATATTAGAAATGACGCCCCAATTTGACACTTGGAGAAGGCGCATAAGCAAAGATCGCAAAAGTAGAGTACAAAGGAAATTTCTAACGTAAAAAAAGATTCTTTGAATGTAAATGTCTCACCTAAATTTTTCAAATGGGTTCGGCGATGTGTCTGGTCAGATGGTCCGCGCAAAGTGTAGAGTCGTTGACCCTCATGCACCGGAAAACGGAAATAGCGCTCTCTTCTTCCCACAAGCTCACCCTTTCTTTCAAGCTCCTATCTTTATAATCCCAGAGCAAGTGCAGAAATGTTACTACCACTGAACATCGTGAGTATATATAGCCAAGAGTCATCAGTGTATTAATAAAACAATAATGCACCATCATTGGACGTAATACGCAATCTATATGCATGCTAACTACTGACAATGTAGGCCCTCATAAAACGAAAATTATCGCGCGATCACAAGCACGATATCGGGCCCGCCATAATTTAATTAGGATTGTACTTATGTCGGTATAATGGACCCAGTGAATTTCCTGTTCCAATGAAGTACCCCCCCCCCCACCGCTCTTTTTCGGCGCGCTAATTTCAGACAGTGTCTGTCGGTAGAACTGTTCAGTTTCAACCAGATAAATTTCAATTCCAGTTGAAGAGCCCGACTCGGTTAATGGCCCGGGCTGCTGCGGGGAAATCAGACGGTCTCCCCGCCGACTTTTCCAGTCCCACCCGGTAGACATGCCGCTTTGTTTCGCCGACAATTCTTTCCCCTTTCTCAGTTCTAGTTCTCTCACAAATGTTTGTATAAAATAATAAGATTGTCCCAGACATCAGAAGGGGTAATCTTACGATGTATAGCAAGATCTAGTCCCATACCTTGTCGGATCATCGTCAGTTTTCTCTGACTGATCCCAAACAAATCCACCTGTCACCGATATCTCGTAATCCGTCATGTACACCGGTAATGATCATTAGTTCCAACCAAAGGCGGAATAAAAGAGCAAGATCATACACATAGATTGTGGCGCATGCAGGAAAATGGTCTACAATAGTGTTCTCCATAAAGTGGCCCTTTTTAGTTTGATTTATGTCACTCCCCATTTCGTGGGATAATATTCCGCCGTGGGTTAATAGAATAGATTGAAAAGCTGGGCTGCCCAGGCCAAGTGATCGTTGACCAGGCCCAATCCCAAAGATTAGCATATAAATATCAGTATTTATGTGATTATTGGAGGTAAAATAAGGCACGGTGAGTAAAAACTTGGCTGTATTTATGATCAGTACAGTAGCTGCCTCGTTGGGATTTGATGTATATACCGTGGCCTACCGATTACAATGCATAACGTAGGTATTAACATATGAATATATACCCATCCGCGCGCTCTATCCATCTCAATCAGTCATCATCCCTCTAGGAGCACATGTAACTCGACAAGTATTACCCTCGGTTGGAGCAATCAAACAAGCAGGTTCAAATGTTAAGCGCTCTTGTTAGGGCTTCTTGTGGGGTGTTCAGCCCACGGGAAGATGAAGAATAATCCTCGGGGCGAGGAGGCAGGTCCCCCCGAGGACTCTTTCCTATCGAGCCGCTCTCCCCGGAGACGGGCTATATGTCAAGCGGCGTGTTAGCGACTTCTGGAGCTTGAACCTTCACTAACAAGTAATTATCTATGAAAAATGGGCCACGTCCCGCGCCTCCCTCCGGAACGGACCGGGTCACCGGCAAACTTCCCTCGGAGGATCAGGCGCGAGCCGCCGCAGACAGGAGACGTCATCACGGTAAATGTCAGGCGCTGAGAGAGGGGGAGGGGGTGGCGGGAGCACTGGACCCCGGCCCGCCGATCGAAGAAACACCGCGCCCCTGACAGAAGAAAATTAATGTCTGTTATTTGATTCAGACCTTTGGGTTGCAGGGAAACATAATGAAGCAATTTGCCGCCGCTTGCTTAGCTTGTTCCACTTTGTGTCATCATGAATTTTAATAGCCTTCCTCCATTCTCTCCACTTGCACCTATAGCTAGAACATTCTGCCCCCCCTAAAACGGGACGTAAGTATTTCCACTTCTACAGTTTATGAGAGTAATGAACGCCATTTCACCTCTATGTCCTGTGGAAAAAAGTCGTCTGAACTGAAAACAAGGCTAAAAGTTTCCAATAATCCTGGTAATCCACCATAACCTGGTTTGGGACATCTCATTTCGCCCAGTAGGGGTGTCTTACCAGGTGAAATTTTTTACTCTCCATCTAGCATATATTCTTAACATATATGTTCATGATATTAGACGTCCTCAACTCCACAAGCTAAAACCAACCAATAATAGGAAAGGTACTCCACTATAGTTTTCTATTGGTAATTTTTCACTTGTAACGTCAGCGTCATCCCTTGTGAATAGTTGGGTCCGCGGTAACAAGCAGTTGTGCCGTCTGTGCGTGGAAAATTGCTGTGATCACTACATAATGGCCGTGCGCACATCATGGCCACTCGTGCCTTATCAAGACTCGCATTAATACATTCCGTACATTAGTACACTGGAGATTGGGGCAGGTACGGCCCAGCTGCCGCGTCAAATCGTCAATAACACGCCTATATCAGCCGGAGAAAATTTGGCGGGAACGTCACATGTCGCTGAGGCGTTTTTGCAGACGATAGTTTGTCGCTGTATATCCAGTCTGGACAAAACACACGTTTTCAAACGATTTTGTTAATTTTGTGTGATAACCAAGAATAGAAATCTTGTTAAAGACAGAAAGGACCTGACATATTTTTTTGAAAACAAGATGTCAGTCAGGCGTTTTACAGACGATAGTTGTCGCTATATAGCTATATAAAGTATCCAGTCTGAACAAAAAAATACACGCCTATATCAGCCGGAGAAAATTTGGCGGGAACGTCATGTCGCTGAGGTGTTTTTGCAGACGATAGTTTGTCGCTCTATATCCAGTTTGGACCAAAATACACGTTTTCAAACGATTTTGTTAATTTTGTGTGTTCCTCAAGAATAGCAGTATTGTTAAAGACAGGAAGGACCTGACATAATGTTTTTTTTTTTCAAAACAAGATGTCACTGAGGCGTTTTTGCAGACGACCATTTGTTGCTCTATATCAAGTCTTGACACAAATACACGTTTTCAAACGATTTTGCTAATTTTGTGTGCTACCCAAGAATAGAAGTAACAATACAGTATTGTTAAAGACAGGATAGACTTGACACATGCTTGTGTTTTTTATAAACAAGATATATACAAGCAAACATCACCGAAAGCTAGTATTCTGAGGAAAAGAACTTCAAATTGTGCAATGTACTACAATTTCGTTACATTGTATTTTCTTGAATGTCACGTCTGCAACAGAAACGCTATACCACTCAATACATGGAAACGATAAAAGTTTAACGATTTGTTTTTGTTTGTTTTAAAGTGACCTTGGGTACTTTTGTTGGTAACATCTGTGTCCATAATATCACCAGGGTCCATAATATCGCCACCTTGAGAAACAGTGTGCTTAAAGATATTTTAACTGCAACATACCCTAGATATGTTCATTTAATGTGTGAAGGAGTGCATACCAGAAGTATGTTGCAGTAAAAATATCTTAAAGCACACTATTTCTCAAGGTGGCGATATTATGGACCCTGGTGATATTATGTACACGGATGTTACATGTACTGTACATTTTTCTGGTAACGCAAGTGTTTGTTTTGTACACACGCACACGTGCACACACATGCACTTTGACACACGTGCACACACACACACGCGCGCGCGCACACACACACACACACAAACACAAACACGCGGACAATGCCACTGATTATAAATGGAAGGAGAAAAATGACTAAATTATGAAAGAAAAGAAAGGATCATAAAGAATAGAATGGTGATTATCAAAAAGGATACTCTTAGAAGCAATAGTAATTTTTTGTTCAAGACGAATAGAAACAGCCCGTTTCCATGTGCATGTGCCAAATGCTTGCCGACTCCTGCCTTGAACTCACGGCAGATAAATGAATCGGAAAAGCTCAATTTACAGGCGGAAAATTGGACGTATGAGTTACAAATCCTTACAATTTTCCGCTGGAGCAAGAACGGGTCTAGATGGAGTGCTTGTATCAAAGAAACCGCTCGCTCATAATAGTCATCATAAACTAAGTGTAGAGAAAAAATTCGACTCGAAATTCACCAAAGAAAGGGAGACTAAACATATTTCTGATTGGTGGACGAAGTACATCCGTTGCTATGGTAACCACATTTCTGCCGAAATATCCCGGATGACCAAGACAACAACAAGAAGAAGAAAACTGCGGAGCGACTTGTTGCGAAGGGCGGCAAATTGATGAGACACAAAGACAATTTGCTTAACGAGGCACAAAGACATTAGCGGTAAAGCTAAAGGGCAGAGATTAGAAGAAAAGCAGGCGATTAGGTGAGTTTTATGAGGGCAGACACGGTGGAAGTAGTCGGACCGGCTGGTTGCACGGGAAGGGTGTCCGGAAGGGGGAGGGGCGCGGCACCTATAACGCCGCTGGACCAGGTAGATTATAGCTCATCATCGACATAGAACGGCGGTCAATAATGATCCGGGGGAGGAGACCGGCCCGTACCGAACATTACCACCGCCAGCGGGAGAGAAATGATGCCCGAACGATCCGCTGATGGCACCGGCCCTGTTTCCCCCAAAGCCCCGCCTTCCCGTTCAACATCATTGAACCTCCCATGTAACAATTCGAAATGATGTCGGGGTTGACTGGAGCGGTCGTAAAGGGTTTCATC